CGAGTTGAGCCCACCATCTGCATATTAAATTAAAAAAGTAAACCGAGTCGAATGGACGCTCCTGTCATGCTGTCCGCCTGTATTGCTGTTGGATGCGATCAATGCGGAATGTAATAAGTAATGGGTGTGGGGCTGCATGCCCGATTTGGTCCAAACTGTATGTAAGTATTAGTGAATGTAATGAATTATATCTGCTACTACGTGTGGATGTAGCTACTTTTCGTCCTGGTTCAGCTTGCAAGAGAATTGTATGCTCATTGATGTTGACTGGAAGAGTATATTAGAGTATGGTACAATTTTGATCGCGAATCTATGACTTGTATTGTTAGCAATAGAGTATACTTAATCTCCTCTTTAACGTCCGCTCGCTGGAATCGGATCTCAAACCATCAGTTGTGCACATCAAATCATTAATTGTGTTGAGCTGGAGGAAGATACTGAACCTAGGTATTAGATAGAAAGTTATATAGTATGTTAAGATGTCATTCATATACTCATCTATCTGTTGACTGTGTAGTCCCCCACACATTAAGCTTTTGACCAAGTCTCGAACAACAGGGACGACTCCTAGCAATATATACATGTAAGCATCCTGAAGATTTAATGCTGGAGTTATTACCTGATTTGCATGTACTAACAATGTGATGATCATTTTCATATGTAGCTGAACGATCATCACACAAGGCGCCACCACAACGGCCAATACGATGACAACACCTTCGTCTCCTGTCTCTTCAAACGATGCATCCGATGATGATGAACGTGAAAAGCCCAATTTACATATTTTGCCAACTGAGCTCTTTTCGCTTACAATCGAGGCGGTCGATCGAAACACTCTAGGGTCACTCGCTCGTACATCGGAACATCTCGAATGTGGTATTCCCAATTCTGTACAAAAAAATCATCGTTGCCAAGCAGTCAAAGATCTTGGCTGGTATCAAAACGCAGACCATGTCAAAGAGATTTTGTAGCCTCATCGAAACGCTCGAAGTGAATGATTTCAGCGCTCTGGATAGTGTTTCCAACGTCAATAGAGCCAAATATGTCGATCAATAGCTGCATTAATATGGTGAACCTCATCATGGCAGAACCACGTCTAGTCAAGCCTCATAGAACTATATTTGGGCCGCTGATCTCATTCGTGAGGAATCGTCTAATATCTTTGGATATACGAGAGGTAATGACTTCTAGACTTGATGAAGTGTCATCTGGAGCAGTATGGATCAGCATGACAGAGTTCAAGCTAGACCATAATCCGTTTCCGCTCGGTGCTGCCAGGGATCGTCTGGCCCATTCCACGCTGGACTGTACGCCTTTACTCGAGCGCCTGGAGATTGGTGGTACGTTCCGTTGATCCTATAAAACACTTCGTATCAGGTGCAGAAGCCGACATTGATACGAAAGCACTACTTCCATTCTTGCCCAACTTGGAAACTTTGGAGTGCTGTACTACCTCCATCAACAATTAAAGATTTGATGTCATGGCAGAATATTGTATAAAGCTTCAGAATATAGAACTAGTCGACCGTTTTGGTGCTATGCCAGATACAATCGTCACCGAAGGATTGTAACCACCTCGATTTCCAAATCTACGTGGTATCAAAGTAGGAACAGAGTGGCTCGTCGAAAAGAGATTTCGGGAGAAATTTTTTTGAGAACGAAGTGGTATAAGGGCTCAACGTAACAATATCATAAAGCTGGAGAAGTTGGTGGTGAAACGTTGGCGTTTCGGTACCATGCCTGGTGATATTGTCTTGACACCTGCTGCTGCTGTAGAAGAGTTTGGGAAAATGTCAATTGAATAGGTAAAACCGCACCAGTAGAATGGTAGCAGCATCACATAACAACCTTTGCTGTGACCAAATAAACTATGGTAACAACAGACAGATGAGTAACGATTAAAAATCGTAACTTCGCTTGACGGCTTGATGCCTATAGAGCAGCAGACTTCTCTTTTCCTATGGCGCAACACGTCTGATAATGCTTCGTTGGCGTGTGTACAACGTGTCAAGTGCCAGTCTAGCTCAGCTAGATGTATGTGATATGTGATATGCAATAAAATTTCTCTTTCAGGACTCATTTGAGGCGGTACCTTTGTTCTTTCCCTTGTTGCTTCGCAGGATATCAAAAATCACTGTCGACAAGTAAAAGTTACTAATTCATACTATATATAGCAAGAAATTCAATGATGTCTCGACGACCTATGGGCGACGAACGCAACAGAACTCTATTTGTCGCAGGCTTCAGCTCCAGAACCAAGGCTCGAGACCTGGCACACGAATTCGAAAGGTAGCGATCATTCAGGACTTTATTTCATATTTTACTATTACCCAGATGCATGTCGAATATCGAGGAATTGCCACATCCATCATGTCAATGTGATACTCATACTTCCTTTCAACTCCCCCCTTTACCATCCTCGTCATCATCATCATCATCGTTCCAAAAAAAATGTTGACTTCTTCTTGACTGAAACAAACAAACAACCCATCCATCAATTACAGATATGGACGATTGATTCGTTGTGACATTCCTGCTCCAAAACCTGGTCGAAACCCGTAAGTCACTGTATAATAATGCCTCATTACCCACTCAACACATGTACACTACCAACGAGTGAAGGATCATACTCTATACACCCATACCCAAATCCTTATACCATCCACCTACTACATTCCTTCTTCCTCACCCATCAACCTCATAGATATGCCTTTGTTGAGTTTGAAGTTCCTCGTGATGCTGAAGATGCTATGGCTGACATGCAAGGTCGACGATTTGATGGTGCTCCTTTGACCATTCAAGTAAGTTTGATTACAGAGCTGTAGTAGAAGTGCTTGTTGCAGTCGCTACAACTGATTCAAGTGTCTGGCACAAGTGTCTGGCACATCATACACTATGTGTCTGATACCTGCACACGCAATATGTTTTATACTTGAACAACTCATACGCAAATCTGTACTCATTCATATACTCTCATCAACCATTAGTGGACAAAGGGAGCTCCTGGTCGCTCGTGGAGGTTGGGAGAAGATCAAGGCCCTCCGGGTCGCGGCCCTCCTCCTCAAGGAAGAGGTCGATCTCCTTCTCCCCGTCGTGGTCGCTCTCCTTCTCCTGGCTACCGTCGTGGCCCACCACCTCCTCGTGATGATCTTCCTCCCAGGCGCGAGTTCGACCTCCCAACTCGACGAATTGATGACTATGACCGAAGAGGCTCAGACATAGGTCGTGATGTGCGAGATATAAGGGATTTGAGAGATGACCGTGGTGCTGAACGTGATGATCGCCCTCCTACCTCAAACCTTCCCTCGGCTAACTCTGATCGTAGCTGGAACTAAAAAGTTTTGTGTATTCATCAATTGCAAGAACCCAAAAAGTGAGTCTTTTGTGTCTTGCTCTATGTGATTGTGTCGAATACATCGTCTTGTTTGCTGAACAACCAACTCAGACTTACATTTGCCCTCTCGTTTGACTCTTTGCTAGGCAGAGACCATGTAAAGAAAAAATGTGCCGAGTTTGCAACATATAGATTTTCGTAAAAGAGCACATTGCGTCCATTTTGTCAACCTTTGTTCAACCGTTGAAACACCATGCGGCCACGACTGCGAGGCGAGAGCAGGCTTATATTAATAGGAACCATCAGCCGAATCCATTATACTCTTTCGCCATGTAAAGGACGGCCATTGTCAACGAGTCAAGGACAAACAACCGACGAGAATAAAAAGACAATTTTAGAAGTTAGGCAGTATACGAAAAGAGGAAGAGTATCAGAATATACATCCTTCCAACCATCATCACCGGCCAATAGCAATGCATCTAATGGATCTAGCAGAACGACCGCATGGCATCAACAACCTTCATCATCATCAACATCACCAAAACATTATACTCGAGCACTAGACGAAAAGTTCCAACTAGCCTTTCTACCAAAGAACTACCATTCATCTGTAACAGCCGACTACATTCCATATTCCATCTACCAATTCCTGCACTCTGTGACGGGCACCATAACCGGAACACTGTCAACCCAAGCTCTCCTCCAAGCACTCGGCATGGGCGCTGCAACATCCATAGGACTAGCAGCTACCACAAACTGGATTATAAAAGACGGATTTGGACTCTTAGGTGGTGTCATATACGCTGCTGTAGTATCAAACAAGTTTGACGCTCAACCGAAACGATATAGATTTTATTCCGCATTGGCTCTACAAGCTGCTACAATACTAGAACTAGTGACTCCTATGGTCCCACACTTGTTTCTCCCACTAGCATCATTCTCAAACATTGCTAAAAACGTTGCATGGCTTGCATCATCTGCCACTCGAGCTGCAATGCATAGAGGATTTACAAAGGAGGATAATTTAGGTGATGTAACTGCTAAAGCTGGTGTGCAGGCTACCGCTGCTGGACTTGTGGGGACTGCTTTAGGTGTTGGTGTGTCGTGGGTTGTCGGGACGCAGCCGTGGATGTTGGGATTAGCATTCTTCCCCTTGTGTGTTGCTAATCTGGGGTTTGCGTATATGGCTAACGTGTGTGTTGTTACGAGGTCGTTGAATGTCACGAGAGCAGAGTTGGCGCTACGGCCTTTAATTGTTGATTTGGTCGCTACTACGCCATCAATGACTGATACTCAGCAGTCAAGTGATACCGCTACAACAACAACATATCAAACTATATCGACTCACAACGGTGACGACGACGATTGTATAATTACCCAAAAGACACCTACACCAGATGTCGTAGGACGTCAAGAATGGTTTTTGATGAAACAGCCATCTGAATTCAGTATTCCATTAATAATAGAAGCTCCGCTATCAAAGTATCTGCCTCGTCTTACGGAAACGGAAGCAGACGCTTTTGTGCATGGCAGATACGTGCCAAGTGGATGTCAATACCGTATACTGGTGGTTAATAAGAAGAATAAGGGTCGACGGGTGTATTTATGGCTTTTAGAGGATGCCAAGACTAAGGATGTTGTGGCTGCTATCTATCATTCATGTATATTGAGAGTCGTATTAGAGAAACATAGTAGTAGTGCTACTAGTGATGTTGATACCATACAAGCCATGGAACAAGCTAATGAACTGGCTCAACGGACATTTGAGCCAACGTTCACAGGATTGGCACAAAAGGGGTGGGACGTGATGAATGTGCATATTGAAGACAATGACATGAGGCTCGAGTTGATTAGTGGGCAACTCGCGAAACGAAAAATGCGTGATGCTAATAATGAGGAATGAAATCATAATAATAAGTAAACTGGTTAGTATTTTTGGTGTAAATAAGATATACATATGATATAAGCATCATTAATCTTGAGGCATAGTTGTTATTGTTGTTGTTGATGCGGGTATGATTGGTTTTGCTGGCTTTAAACAAAGTCCAAGTAGTAAGAGCATGAGAACTGGGAAGTAGCTTGTGATTGTTATGAGACCAAATCCATCGTGAGAAGAGTCTGGAGAGGCTTCTGCGAAACCGACGCCCAGAGATAGCGCAAATGCACATGTTAGAGCTATTACAAATGGGGTGAGTTTTTGGCCATGCCTTGACTTCGAATAAAACGGGGCTGGTGGATGCTTACGTCCAACGACGACCGCTCCAACATCCCACGCTACACTGAGAACTCCTTCATCAATCTTCAATCCTTGGAAGAGCGTTGCAGGTGCGCCGGTAAAGAGGTTTCGTATATACCACCAGTAGTGCTTGAAAGACCACTCAGATACGTTGGAGATGCATGATAATGGCACCACGACGACAATGAATCCACAAAGTATCCACTTGACGTCAAAATTGTATAGGATTTTCAAGAATCCGAAAGCTATTTTGAGAGTGTTTGGCAGTTAGGACCAATAACGACCAAAATACGACGGAAGTGTAACTACAAATTGCGTGTATACACACTCAATCCGAACGCCACTCCCATAGCAATACACCCCGTAAGAGATGCAACACTGTATCGGTTCTGCGTTACTACAGCAGCAGCTTCAGACAAGATCTTGACTCCCGGCTCGGCCACACAGACGACAAATCCAAGCACGAATACAATCAGTAATGCTACAGCGAGACCCCACGAGTATGGTAGTATGTTGTTGCCATACACAGTAGGCTGGAAGAGTCTTGGTAATGCACGACCCATAATCAGTCCTAAAGGAGACACGTGTGCCACACCTAGGTTGAAAAAAGCTAGTCCCACAGTGACTGAAAGTGTGCCGATAATCAATCCTAAGTGCCTGTGGGATTGAAACTTGAGGTACTGAAAGGCTTGCTTGAATCTGCTTCTACTTGGGAGCTTGTTGACTGGCAAAAGTGCATCCGGTGATAACGTTATATCAGTTGATCCTCGAACAAGCGATGCAGGTGGTGGTGGACCTATAGAGCTCATCGACCGACTTCTTGAACAATCCACGACTTGCAATCCCAAGAAACTGGTTGCCATTGGTGGAGGCCAACTACTGATAATTGATGCTTGGTCGTTTTGTATCTCATCGTGTGGGAATTTAACTACAATTGAGAAGGGCGATGGTGGTATTGAGAAATCTGGGTGTAATGGTGATGGTGGACGATTGTGATGTATTGCGTTTGGTGAATACGATTGTGCCGAGTCTGATCCATATGTCGGCGATGGTGGTCTTAGATAGTGCATTGTTGTTCCGTGACAAGACATAAATTCCGCTGCTGGAGCTAATAGTTGATGACTCAATACCGGTGTTAGGGACGGTGACCTACGTCTCATCATTATAGGTGTGGTGCTTGTTTTCTCTTCATCGAAGTCGTCTGCTGTTACGGCTATTATGACTGGTGGTACTATTGATGCCGTGAATCTTGTATCTTCATGTCCATCCTCGTCTCCTTCGAGGACTAATTCAGTCGACGAGTCAGGTTCCTTCATCATATCATCCACCAAATCAAGCTTAAGCATGAATTTCGCTACAATCAAGAGAAACGCGACTAGTGGTAGCACCGATCTCAATCCCCCTATCGTTGCGTCGAGAAACGAGCCGGCAAATGACTTGTCGGTTGTATTCGAATTACTCGTCGGCGTCAACAGTAACTGTCTCTTTACTTCGTCAACTCCAATGGTCAGATGTAACAAAACACTTAGACATTGCGTTGTAAGCACAGGTAGTATGCCAGCTAACGCAACTATTCCAAGCCCACGAACTTCGATTTCAGGTTTAATTTGTCGTGGATTACGGTGTGCCATGCCCATTCCAAGACAAAGTATTATCGGGACTGTTACGGGACCGGTTGTAGTCGCACCTGTTGTCAAGATGTAGAGCGTTTAGATTGTCGTAATAGTGAACATATCCTTTACAAAAAACCCCCGCACCGCAATCCCATGAGAAGGTCACTATGCTTGACAGCGGTCCTCCAGCTTGTAACAGACATAGCGAAGACACTACCGCTGATCCTAACGTGCCCAGTACTAGGTAGAGTAACGGACATCCGTGGTAGAATCTGAGTATGCTCAACACACAGGCTATGCCGACACCCATTGATATAACCTATTAGTAGTAGAAGATGAATGGGAAGCAAGAAGACTCATTATACAATCCTGCAGCTTGTTTTAAGCTTACTGCATATAGAGCTTCCTCCCACACGGTTAGTAAGTACATTACATAGGGAATGTCAGAGACTCCTTTAAAATTCGTAAGAGCTTGTAGCGAGGTTAACGAAGGTTCAGCATATGTAGCAAGTGATCCCAATAGAAACACAACGAGTCTTGCTAAACTTGGTGGTAGTTTCTGAATTAAATGTCTCCCAACCAATTCACTTATTGGCATGATGCACATGTTGACTCCTTCGAAATCTAAGTTGAGGGCGTGTTAGTGACCAAACAACGTTGCTCGTCTTGCTTGCGTCCGTTTATTTTTTTGCATTTATGAAACTCACATAAAAGCAAACCCAACAGGGTAAATCCAAATCCTTGCACGATATGACTGATACTTAAGTGTGAAGTAATCCCATATATGGATGCTGCTGAAATGATAAAGATTGGCAACAAAGACTGAAACAATTTCATTCGTGACAAGATCTGCATCAATAAATTATGGGAGAGAGTCAAGACTGTCCAGGCTGAAGAATTCCATGACGATGATTTGGGATGTTCTTGAGACACAGATTGATCTTCCATGTTTAGTCAAACTTTAGGTAGTTGAGCACCCTCCAAGCTTGTATGTTTTTTAATTTGTTGGCACCACTGGTCACTCCGACCAAAGAGCTTGGCATTTACTAATCAAGTTCGATTAGTCTTGACGTTTGTTCGGTTCTGCGTATTGTCTAATAGTCTATCTCGTTCAGTAGCACTTTTTCAACGAGTATTAGCGTTCGCGCCAGATTGAAGATTTCGTTAATGCTCTGGTGTTAGCGCAGTTACGGGAAGTCAAAAAGCCCAAAATGTGGTTGAACGGACGCCAAAAACAAACGGCTTATATGTGTAAAGATACAGTAGTTGACGTTGGATCCCTTGGAAGTTCTTCCAACACAAGTAACCGATACAAAACACGCAACTTTCCACAACGACGTCAATCGGTGAATAGGTTTGTAACAATCAAATGATGATCTCCGTAAACTTTGATGTCCTATGATTGGCCTCCTTGATGGATTCTTCACGAAGTTTGCTCGGAACGTTTCGTACACCACAGACACACGTTTTTGGGTTTTTCAGCAGACTTTAGATATCTGTCCACCAGTTCCAGTTAGAAGATTGAGTGGCTCTCCAGACACCTAGTTCGAGACTTAGACCAAAAAAGAGCTAATAGAGCAACAGAATGTCATGATACTGATACAATTACATTGCTTGCAACACTATGAGCATTTTATCGACAGCATAACCACAAGAATGACATCCAAGTCAAAGAAACAGCAGGAAGACGGTTTCGTATCTGTTCAAATCGTCATTCAACGAAAGTGAGTTGCAAACACAAATACACAAACCATTCGAGACGTTCATGAGTATATAATATTTGTGTATAGAAAACAACAAAGTCTAGTCACATTACGTACTGCTGCCACCATTCACTTCCTTTAAATATTCGTCATGAAGCTTAGATTGAGCATCATACTCCTTCACAGCTTTCTTGGCTTTTCCTTTTGATATCTCAGCACCAGCTGCATCATGTGTTGGAATGCCCTAACAAACCGAAATGAGGCATTAGTCAAGCGTCGCGTCTTTTTTGCTGCTACATAAGACGTTAAAGCATTACCTTTTCATCCCATCGTGAGTATTCACTGGTACGGAACAATTCACTCGGAGGAGTAGCCCCCTTAGCTAACCTTTCAGCTCTCTTGGCAGCAGCAGCTCGAGCAGCTTCTTCCTTCTTCAAGAGTTTTTCTTGTTCTTTTAGTCGTTTCTCGTCCCGTTGGGCTAGTAGTAGCTCTGGATCTACGAATTTGACTAGAGCTGTACCATCTGATAGTGTTTGGGTATGTGAGATACGCATTCTTCATAGTATTATCCTTCCTTTTCCCCCCTACCTTCACGATCATCCAAAGCAACTCCCAGCTCTGCCAATTGTTCATCTCTCAGCTTATCCGACAACGACAAGAACTGAATATGCGCTATACAATCAGTTGATTCGAGGTTATGAACATGCTTGCAACCCCGGACGAAAAGCAATATGAACCCTTACGTTGTTGCGATTTAGCTAATGATTCGACAGAATCAACAAAGCTTTTGACGACATGCAAATAAGGCCCTCTTATGTCGGCAGCCTTGATAGGAGAGAAGGCAGCATGAACGGCTTTATCTTGTCGAATGTTTTCAACCGCCGTTAAAAAGTCGGTATATGCTATGCGAGAAAAAAAAGTTCAGAGAGAGACTCCATATTAAGGATCGTTGAATACTCTCACAAACCTCCTTTCTGACGAGCCAAATCTCTAATCTTGTCTCTAAAAGCTGCTAGCGCTCTCATCTCACTCTGAACGATATCTTCCACATTACCACCACCACTACCACTCGTCGAATCTCCCAAGATACCGAACGTCTTGAGCATTCTATTGACGTATCTAGTTGTCTTTTCTAATATATCGGGATTCACACGAGCATTCTTGTCCTTGGCTTTAGCAGAAATGTAAATGTTTCCTGCCCCAATGAGGTCTGATATAGCACGTATGGCTTCTGGTGTATCAAATGAGTCACAGAGAGCAGCGTGGACGGTCATTTGTGATGATTTGAGACTATTACAAAATTGTCAAGTAATTGAAATCGTCTTTCGAATTCAAAACAAAAAAATGCCTCTCCTACGATCAATTGCTTACGAGTCACTAAGCCTCTTCTCATCATCACGGAAATTATGGGCTCCTGTAAACTTGGCTTCGGTTGACCTTGATTCTTGTATCAGAGATTTGGCATTCAACAAGAATTTCTAGACGAGGCAATGGTGGCGTTTGTCAATGCGCAAAAAAAATCCAAAGGTTGGTATAGCTAATTACATTGACAGCAGACTCAAACGACTTGGCACCAGCCATAGATCCTTCCGAATAATCCAACAATGAGCCCCAACTGTGCATCAGAAACATGTATCGAATTTGAACTGCTGAATATTGTTGGAGTGCCTCCTACAAAAAATGTGGCAAGCGTTGATAAGATCGTTGATAAGATGGAGCGCAGAAAAAGGGTACAAGAGTCCGAACGATCCAAACACTTACTCGAATGGTAATAAAGTTCTTGAGAGACTTGGACATTTTCTTCCCTTCAATATGCAAATGACCAGCATGCCAAAAGTAGTTGACCCATTGCGAATGATCATAATACGCCTAAGACAACAATGCAGAGACGGGCTTTTGGTCATTTCATTTTCCACATCATGCCAAAAAACCTTGGGAAGGACAGATGTACCTCAGATTGAGCAATCTCATTATCATGATGGGGAAACACCAAATCTATACCACCGGTATGCACATCAATCCTACTACCCAGCACTTCACTAGCCATAGTCGAACACTCTATATGCCATCCAGGTCTCCCTAAACCCCATGGGGAAGGCCAAGCAGGTTCACCGGGTTTAGACGATTTCCATAATGCGAAATCAGATGGTGATCGTTTCGCGATCCCTGAGCCAGTCAGGGATCCTTCACCCTCTGCGATTAAATCTAGGTTGTTTGCTGATGATGGCGCTAGTTTAGCGTATGTGTGGGTTGGTTTTTTCTGGAAGGATTGGGTGTCAAAGTATACTGATCCTTGTGCTTCGTATCTATGGTTCAGATACGTTTCGTGAGACCCAATGAGCCAAAACAACCACACAAACAAATATCGTACGCATATCCATTCTGCACTATGACTTCAGTCCATTCCACAATCTCTGGCACGTATTCACTGACACGTGTCAACACATCTGGACGACGAATCTAAAAACGAGCGACGAGGATAAGAATCTCGAGGGTGTTCGGTTGTTGTTCTGAACTGCATTTTTGTTACATTCAGTAGATCCATATCCTCGAAGTACAACTGCTCCCAATTTGCAGCAAACTCTCTGAATATCTTTGGCTCTGTAACCGTTGAGCCACTCTAGTGGGGAAGAAGAATATAAGACGTTCGTAGTTCCTTTCAGAAGCGGTTTAGGAGTAGCTTTTTTTTGCGTGATTCGTACTTGATTGTCCAAGTACTCTTTCAAAACATCTTGCGATGCATCGAGCAAAGATGTCACACTCTGCTTGTCTATATGTTTCAAGGCTTCATATGCCGCCGTCTATTGTAGCGTAATAGAGTGAGTTGGTCGAAAGAACAAAAAAAGCTATCAGCGATACTAGTGAATTACCGCAGATTTGAGGTACATGGAAAACTTCTCATCCTTTTCAGCAGCTTTCGGTATTCCATTCTTAGATACATCAGTTACTAGCTCTTCAAATGATGTCTTGAGTGTCTCTCCAGCCACGTAGTTGCATATTCTTTTTTGAACATAACGCGACCATGCCAAATCCACTTCATGAGTCAGTTCTGGCGTTATAGATGTGAATTGTTTCTTGTATTCAGCAAATAGATGTTCTTGTCTTGCTCCAATAATGATCTGATGTAGAAGGAGAAAAATAAATAAACGTGTGTGCGTAAATGTTTTCAGGATTTGACTTTTAGCTACCTTGTCATCGATATCAGTAATATTCATGACGTACATGACATCATAACCGAAATAATCTTCAAGAATCCTTCGAAGAATGTCAAAGCTCATGTAGTTCCTGCAGCAGGACCAAAAAAACATCAACATTGCGAATGAGCGTGACAAAACACGTTCCTTTTACCTTGCATGACCAAGATGTGACCAATTATAGACAGTAGGACCACAAGAATACCATCCAACAAAGTTTCCATTGATGGGGATGAACTCCTCCTACTCGACAAATGTTTTTCAGCTCATTATTCGTGATTTCGCTGTCCTCCAACAATTACAATAAAACAGCAACACGTACCTTTGTTTTCGTCAAAGTATTATAGACTTTTAGGACGGGCTTTGTGCTTTCAGGCTTGATCCATTTACCCTTGTCGCTCATATTGCAACAGCTCGAATTATGGCGAATGTACAAGTGAGCGAATCTAGTTCTGCTTGTGGTTGAATAAACTGAAAATAGGGGCGATGTTCGTGTTAATGATGATGCTTGGAGAACTCTCTTGAAACTAGTCAGGCCTTGATAACAAGTCATGCAAAAGTGGGAAGCTTGGTGACTGACGATGAAGGAGGTGAAATGCTTTCAGAAGACTTTAAACAATATCGTAGGAAGGGACAACAGGTTCCAAATATGAACCCGCTCACAAATGACATCAGCTTTCAGCCCTGTTCGCCCTGGTTACCATTCGGACTAGACATTAACTTCCAAAAACACGTCGAATCAATCGTCTTCCGGCACGCGACGCGTCTCACCGCTCTATATGGTAGTTCTGAAGCGGTTCAGCTCACTGTGAGCTTTGCTAGATCCTCCCTGACTGTGTCTCGTTTGTGAAGTTGACTTTGCACCCCATTGCTGGTCTTTTGTTGGTGTTTTTCAATACCGGTCGCACTTAAATATCTTCAGATTTCATTTTGAATCCTCGCATAAATACGATCTGACGCTGAACGTTCCTCTTGCGTCCATAAACTAAGACATCATTCTCATCGAATTGACACATTGCAGAGTAAGATCAAATGCATTACAAGACGTGCGCATTGCGATTATTGACAGCCCCACAGCATCTCCTTCGCAGAAGGCCTTTACTACAGGTCCGCCTGTCATCGTCTGCTCCAATTATGGATGTCAAGGAGTTTCGCAAGCGCGGCCATGAGGCTGTCGAAAGAATAGCAAAATACTACGAAGAGCTTGAAGCTGGTGATAAATACAAAGGTATTTCGGATCCTGTAATCCTTCGATTCGTTGTAATGCAATAGCTGGACGCAGCACATCTTGTGGCTCACTCGTTGACATTTTGGTTTTTCTAGTTCTGAGTGATGTTAAGCCTGGATATCTGAAATCCTTGCTTCCAGAACAAGCACCAGAAGGTGATTTTCTGTATGCGGTGGTGCAAGTCAAATCTAAAGACAACTGATTTTGACACTTTGTTTACCACTCGCCGCCGTAGAACCTGAAGCATGGGAGAGTATTTCAAGTGATTTTGAAAACAAAATCATGCCAGGTGTTACTCATTGGCAACATCCTTCATTCTTTGCTTTCTGTAAGACGTGAACTTGGCAAATAAGACTTGGGCTCTGTTGCTCACAACGCTGTTTTGAACAATAGATCCAGCCAATTCAAGCTTCCCAGGCATCTTGGGCGACATGTACTCTTCCATGATCAACTGCATCGCGTTCAACTGGCAAACATCTCCCTCCTGTACAGAACTAGAGACAGTCACACTCGATTGGGTCGCAAAGCTATGTAATTTAGATGCTGGCTTCTTATCAACTGGAAAAGGAGGCGGTGTTATTCAGGGATCTGCTTCTGAAGCAGTTTTGGTGGCAGTTATTGCTGCTCGTGAACGTGTGCTGGGAGCTATGAAGGCCAAAGGTGCTTCTGAAGCAGAACTAGCCAATGCTGCAAGTCGACTAGTAGCCTATGGATCAACACAGACTCATAGCTGTACAAAGAAGGCTTGTTTGATATTGAATTTGAAGTTCAAGAGTCTTGACGTTGACACCCAGTATCGATTACGTGGAGATACAGTGAAGGCAGCTGTAGAGCAAGATTTAGCAGCAGGATTGATACCGTTCTTTGTGACGGGTACTATTGGGACGACGTCAAGGTAAACGATGTGGCTACGTACTCTGCCCTTTTTTTTATAGCTTGCTGGCCTTCTTTTGGATTAAACCAATTGCCTTCACATAGTGGTGCAGTGGACGCTATACCTGAAATCGTGAAGGCTATCAGACCGCATGCTGATAGTATATGGCTGCATATTGATGCTGCTTATGCTGGATCAGCAATGACCTGTGCTGAACACCAATATCATCTTGCTGGAACTTCTGAAGCTGATTCTTTTAGTACGTCCAGATGTCGTGTATCTCAGTACTAGATTCTAACAGTTTTTTGTTCTCTTTTGAAGATTTTAATGCCCATAAATGGATGCTTACGAACTTCGATTGCTCCCTATTCTACGTCAAGGACAGGAGTCAATTGACGAATGCCCTGTCTCTCACACCCGCCTATTTACGTAATGCTGCATCAGATTCTGGGCTCGTGTTTGACTACAGGGACTGGCAACTTCCACTTGGAAGGAGGTTTAGGTCACTGAAGCTTTGGTTTGTGCTTCGAACATATGGAGCTAAGGGTATTCGTGCCCATATCCGCATGGTATGTCCCAGTTACTTCTAAAAGGGGCTGTGAGCATCGATTCAAACCTTTGACACGTTTTGTTGGTTCTATAGCACGTTGACCAAGCCCAACTCTTTCACAAACTCTTACTGTCAAGGACTGACTTATTCAAAGTCTTCACACCTCCAAGCTTTGCGTTGATGACTTTTCAGGTCCAACCTGCAAAGGGACAGACAATATCTGAAGCTACTCAGTCTACGTTGGAGACTTGTAATGCTAGTGGGAAGATGTTACTGACGCCGACAGAACTTGACGGACAATACGTTATAAGATTCGTACCTGGCAGTCGCTTGACGGAAAACCACCACATAGAACAAGCGTTCAAGTTCTTGACGGAGGTTGTGGAAAGAGGGAGATCGACGTCAGTCACGTCTAAACTGTAGTTGTTGTTGTTTGGATGAAGGAATATAATCTGATCTTAATATGAGCAAGGGTGTCAGAGCTCGTACTTGTGGTCATTTTTGAGTCTTTAAATTATATTTTGGATACGTTTCCTTGTTGTATTCTCGGACGGCGTCTCTGCATCTTTTGTTTGACACTAACTTCGCAAACAGCAAAATGAGGATCCATTCGCATCAGATAGCACTGTTGCTACTTTACTCTATCACGGTCTTCATTGGTTCCTTTATCCACTATACGTATGAGCCCAAAGATGCCTTCTGGGGCAGCTCCCGAAACATTCTTGTAAATTGAACATCTAGCTTTAGATCGAAAACGAATGAATTTACATGTATTCACATACATTCTCATTGTATAGAACAAAGTCTTTGTCAAATGGGCATGGGTAAGACGCCCTATGCATCAACATCAAACACGTTTTATGGTTTTTGTAACATTTTCTCCGTTTACAACTTAGGCATGGACAGCAACGCCTATACTAGCACTTATGGTGGCGACGGCAGTAAAAAGGCACGACAATCCGCTACCTGCCATCGCCAAATCCCTATTGAGGTGGACCTTTGCTACCTCGTATTGGCAAGTTGTTTTGCGAACGCTCGTTCCTTCAACGATCTCTAAGATTGAATCGCTTAAACTAGGTTTCTTATGACACAGTGGTTTCTAGGATCGTCAATACTTGATAGAATCCTAGTTGGAACTGGTGGAGAATGCGCGGACCCAATTCATATCACCATGCATCATTGTCGAAAGGTTGGCCGTCTTGCCGCAAAGCAACTTGTTCCAGAGCCTAATCATTTCATTCACCATAGCATGGTCATCAATGGTTTGGAGGATTCGACGTATCAGGGCACTGTCTGATCTTGATACACGCTTCGCTCTTCATCTGTGAAGAATTGTGGAACGTCATGTATCCTGTACGCGATTCAGCAAATGGAGAACGTGTTCCCGTCAATCATAATGTCTATCAAGGTCCTTTGGAACGTGCGTTAACCACCTTGTTGATCTTCTTGCTCTTTGTATGGTACATTATGTTGCTTGGTGAGTTGCCATCTCTGAGTAGGTTTTGCAAGGCAGAGGAACTAACAAGGTCTTGAGCAATTAGCTACGAGTGTCTTCTTTCACATATGGCAAGAGAAATTTGCTGGTGTCGTCGTAGGACTGGGTTATTGGCTAGTGGTGTACATTTACGGTTCTATATCAACGTTATAAATTGTCGCCCGAAAAGGAATGTAGTTAGCATAGAAAGTCGTGTAATATACCCATCTTGGACCTCATTATTTCGTGTTCTTGCGAACTTGTGTGATTTATACTTACTCGGACATGTTCGTACGAGTACGCGGCATTGAGCGCACTGCATGGAAAGCTCTAAGCATAAGAGCATCATCTTCTGCGTCGTCCCCAGAATGTTACATTACGCGGTTGACTGACGCAGACAAAGGCAAGTGAAATCACCAAACAGTTACAGATGAAGTGATGCAAATAAATTAACGTGATTTTATCGTTCATTAGGCATATCTGTATTGAATTTCAATAGGCCAGCTTCTAGAAATGCATTGGGCAAAGTCATGATGCAACAATTTCGTGAAGCTCTAGCTGAGCTTAAGTTCGACAGGTACACCCCCATTTGAGGAGCTTGGAGATCTTCATCATGATTTGACTAATGAGTTTTTGAATTTGATTTCGATATTTAGCACAACTCGTGTGGTGATTCTCAGAAGTTTGGTGGACAAGGTGTTTTGCGCTGGGGCAGATCTAAAGGTATACAGCTTATATTGGCAATGTATATTGTGGTGTTTTTGCTAAATGCACTGAATCTCTATCAGGAACGTCAAACTATGCCAATCCATGAAGTAGCTCCTTTTGTACATTCGCTTCGAAGCTCCTTTAATGAAGTCGAGGTACTACGACCTTTGAGTTGCAACTTTATTGTCCATCTATACACTGATTTTACTACGGAATCAGGCACTCCCAATGCCGACCATTGCGGCAATCGATGGAGCTGCGTTAGGTGGTGGCCTTGAATTGGCCCTTGCTGCCGATTTACGAGTTGCAGGTAAGCAGGAACAAAAAAACCATCGTCGAAGATCGTGCTATCGCCTCTCAAGCTATATTTGTCTATCAAAGGTGGTGGAGCTAAACTTGGTCTGCCAGAAACAAGACTCGCCATCATACCAGGGTAGATGATGATTTGGCAGTTTCGTCTTTATGACGAAGTATTCAATACTGCGATTTCGACAATAGGGCAGGAGGCACACAGCGCTTGCCACGATTCATAGGCGTCGCAAAAGCTAAAGAGCTTATATTTACGTGTCGAACACTTAATGCTAAGGAAGCTGAATCGCTTGGTATGGTCATGCATGATCTAATGACTTGGCACCCTTTTTTCACTCTTAATACTGTCCTTCTAGGTATAGTAAATCACGCTGTAGCTGCATCTGCATATGACAAGGCATTGGAATTGGCTCGAGAAATACTACCTCAAGGTTTGACTCGTACTTTGGCAGAGGTTCTTTGCGGGTCTAGTTTCTAACACATCTAGGTAAACAGGTCCAATTGCTCTACGTATGGCCAAAATTGCTGTTACTCGAGGACTGGAAACTGACATGTAAGTAACCGCAAGCAAAAAAGCTACAAGTGCTCTCTCATTATTGTGACGTGCCACTCACCATTTTCTCCACTTAGGACGACTGGAATGGCTATTGAAGAAGCTTGCTACGCTCAAGTAGTTCCAACAGAAGATCGCTTAGAAGGCTTGAAGGCATTCCGAGAAAAGAGGGTCCCTGTGTATCATGGTCGATGATTTAAAATATATTTGTCAATATGTCGCGTGTTGATCACTTGTTGTTCGTTACATGTTCAAATGTATGTACTACTCTCTTTTGTCAACTCTTTTTTTTGCAGAGCTGCGCCAAAAACAAACCTACCATACACCCGATGGCGACAATGGATATAGATCCAGTAGATGATGGCTTTCTTCCAGCCGTAAATACGTTTTCCAGTGGTGCTTCTCCCGCAGAGTCTCTGCATTCCAAAGTATTGTCACTGTTGCTGGCCTACACATCCGAGTCAGAGGCCAAGTCATTATTACAGCAAGTACGCTCATCGCAAACGTACTATCATCCAGAACATATCGATGGATGTAAGTACTTTGAGCTTTTGAAGCTTTCGAATTAACTGATCAAGCTTTTTCCCTGCACACATTTGACACCATTTTTCAAACCTCTCTTCATTTAGACATACCGATATCACTACTATTATCATTCAAAAAGATGCAAAAATTGACTCAGGACCTCCATCTCATTGCTCAAATAGCTGCCACATCACGAGCACTTCAAGTGCACGCAGATGGAACCAAGATACGACGAGTAACCAGTATAACAACACCAGCAGCACCTCCAGCTGGACTATCCTCATCCGCATATATAACAGCATATAAATTCGAATCCGATACCGTCAAACCCGAAGTAGCGCTCTACTTTGCCAACTTTGGTGTTGTCGTTGATGTCGATTTTATCAAACCGGGTGTAGCAGGAATCAAATTCTCGGATGATGCTGGGCTCGTGAATGCTATTACTGCTCCGCATCATAGGTTTCGAGGGGACGCGTTACATGTTGAGTGGATTGCGTCGTCTCATTTGGACATGTTGGAAGGGAAGGGGCGTATACCCAAGAATAAGAAAAAGGTGAATTATCCGAGACGCTTAGCTGGTCCATACCCATATACATGTAATCGTATACTCCATGTCGATGTATCTGGATTATGCTGGGATGCTATCGACGATGCCTCGGAATTGGATAAAGCTGCTGCCACAGTCACAACACTTCTTGAACCATACGCACATGTAGTCGGTGTCAGTCTCGAACGAGCAGGATCAGCCTACGTACGTTTCAAACAACCCATAGTTGACGACCTGCCCGTAATCATTGAACGATCTGGTGGGATATACTGGCCCGATAACGATTTATTGCTGCCTGTGCGTGTAGTCAAGGGTGATGAAGAACGAGTGTATTGGCATGTGACTAGTGCCAGAGAAGCTAAAGGGATGATTGCGAGACGACGATGGACCGTGAATGCTGTTGAAGCTGTATCTACCGGAACGAAACGTAAAGCTGCTGGTGATAATGCAGTGGATAATGATAGTGGTGTAGATGAGAATGGTAAACAGGTCAAACGTCGTCGTGGTCCCCGTGTGAAATCAGAGAATGAACCTAGTACGAGTGGTGTTGAGGATGTACTAGTGGTACAATCATCAGTGCAAGGTGCTAAACAGCACAGAAAGAAGAAGATGAACGGCAAGAAACAAGGGAAACGTGGGAAGAAGGCTGCTGCTGCTGTTATAAGTACTCCAAAGCCGGATTTGGCTGACATGCTAAATCAGTTGCTTTGATTCGAAGGGCAGATAGAAGTAGTCTTGTTCTTTATGTTTTTATCGATAGAATTCTCGTTGCATCGATTTCTTTATTACAAACCCTCTGATTTCATGGCCTTGCAAACTTCAATAGCTTCCAAGGTGGACCTATGAACGCAAGGTCCTTGGAGCCTCCTATCACCGTTCCGATCAATGCGTGATCTTTCGACACTACCCAGCACCTGAAAAGGCCTTTGTCAAGGTCCCAACTACCGTGTATTCACGAGTTCGAATACTCAGTGGCTTCACTTTCAACTCTGTTTTAATGCCATTGATATAACCGGTGGTTGCTCCTGTAGTCCTACCATATTTACGTACTTTATATCGCTCTTGGACGTAGCTTCCTTGGTCCCTTGAGGTGGAGTCTGGGTACTCAAAGCTTGGTTTGTAGAGTTGTGTCCATTGCGATAAGAAGATATATCGTCCACGTTCCTAATGTCATGATCCTGGCGTTGTGAGGTTACGTGTGTATTCGTAGCCTGTCGTTCTTGATTGTTTTTGCAAACAAAGCCCAATCTTCCGTGTGCTTATCTTCTACAGGATTACATCTTCCATCGACAAATGCACCAAATGTCATTTCGGATTTGAGATCTACGTTTTCAGCCATATTTTCGACTATGTAGCAGTGGTCTGCCGTGCTTGGTTTTCTCATGTTTGTGCCCGGTGCCAGCATAGTGCCTTTGCTAATGACGATATGACCACAAGTCAGCCCACACACCGCCCCTGTTTTCTTATCTCTCATGTAGCCACCAAATGATCCAGATCTAGAAGGGGCTGTGACTACTCCTATAGATCGACCACACCTATAGATCGACCACAAGTCACTTTTTAAAAGTAGCGAGGGTCAAACGGGCCGTCGCCGACATCGTCACCAGCACCCGCTATCGCATCGATATCGTCATCAGCATCTGCAACTGCATACAATGCAGTTGTGCCTTTAGTGATTTGATACCCTCAATCCGCGTGTGTCGGATAGCAGGTTGACCGCATCAGGGTCTTCACAAATCACATTTATGCTTGGAGGAGCCTGTTTCATTTGTAACGCCCCGTCGAACTAGCGTTATAGCATAGTTGTCCTGGTTGGTGAGGATCTCCAGAATGGAAGGTTGAATTTCTTCCTATAACCGAATACTTGGATGATTCGTTGGTATTGTATGCGTCATGTCGACACGCGGTCCCCATTTTGAAACGCGATCTTTGCTAACATATAAATTCTAATTAGCGCAGGCACAGTCCGATATTGGTGGCGTCTTTTCCTCGCGGTTTGTAAGGCGTTTAGTAGAAAACGATCAGGTCTTGAAACCGCCCACTGAACATGTGGCATACCAGACACTACGATGTTGAGCGACTCAATGGTTTCCCATAACTGCTGGTCTCTCAGTAATGGAAGACCAGTCTTCCCAAATATGTAATCTGACAAGTCTAATATAGTGATTGATTAGTTTTCAGGAGACGACAGAAGCAAGCAAAAATGTCTATTTGCCTACTAGCCGTACATCAGTCGAGATCTCTGATCTTTCTACATTGTCTTCATGCAACGTTCACGTTGTTTCATGTAAGAGGCAGGCGAGTGAAGTCCGATTCTGACTGTTTGGCCCCATAAGGAGGGGGAGCTTCCGCGTCTAGTGAATCAACCGAGCTGACCGATCGCGTTGAGAACTCACGAAATTATTCCAAATTTAACTTTTTTCTTACCTCAGATCATCACTATCCGCATAAAGCATGGTCTTCATAAGGTCACCTCCATAAGGCGGAGGAGACGATGTTTCTTTGGGAAAAATTGCGGGATATCGAGTCAAGTATTTGGGTAAAAAAAATTCGAGCTGCATCTTCGTCTCCCTTGAATATGACGCTTGTACCCTTATAATATCTGATCCGCCCAGTCCTTCAAGATTAACAAAGATTCTTGTTTAATCTCGCATCCAGTACTTTATACCCAGCTATGTCCCAATATAGCTTTCTCACGCTAAAATGCGTCTGTCGGTGGCGTTTCATCCAAAGCATTGAGTTGGTATCAATAACGCTTGGGTTGCAAGCGAAACCTTAGTAATGGAGTGAGATAAATTTCATTGACACCAAAAGTTACATGACAACACCTATTTGTAAGTTCGTCTAGACTGGATTAAACGTGTATAGGCCTCATAACAGGTCTCCCGACTCTACTTGACAACTTTACCACTTTGCTCATCAAGACATCAGGACTGAGAGCGTTGGTACACGCCTCCTAAAGCATATAACTGGTCGGGTTTCAAGTCGTTGAGTCTGTCCTTGAAGTCATCGTGATGATGTATGTGTTTGCACAATCCATCAATGTCGGTACAATCAGCATCCGTCACGTTCAATTTGAAAGCATTTTCCGACTCTTCCGTAGCAGCCGATATATTATTTGCCTTCTCAGCACGTCGTTGAACGAGTTGTATCCAAAGGGTCAACCTTGTTTTCGAAGGAGGGGGTTGGGAAGGATACAGACACATACGACATTTACCTCAGCAAATGTCATAACTGCCCCGAACTTCAAATTGTGTGATCA